GTGGCACTATTGTTGTGTTGAAAGGATAGAATCATCATATTGCTTTAGGGGACAGGAGGGTTTAAAGGAGGTACCTTGCAGTCCTATTTCACAGATTGGAAGCAACGGTTTAAGGGCACTGGCAGAATCCTTTGCTTGTTCTCCGCGGCAGCCACTGCTGTGTCAGTACAGTGTGGAATGGAAGTCCTAGTTGGTAGTCTGTTATGGAAACGCTGTTTACTGTTATTGTAGTACCGTGGTGACAACATGCCATTGAAATGGAAAACGAGCTCTCCTGCTATCTGGAAATTCCCAGTTCCTGTGCTTAAAACATCCAGGTCAACTCCACTTTCTCCAGCATACATGTAAGTGAGAGAAAATAGGATATTAAAGTGGGATTTCATTCATGAATCTACCTTGTGACAAAACGGGGAAACCCCTAAACAGCAATATCCCAAAACCTACAAGATTAGAAAATCCTCATGCTTGCTAACATTTAAAGAGATTGGCATGCCCACATTTTACCATTGTTTTGTTTTCGTATAGTTTATGTCTATGTTCACTTAAAAAGTGCTTAATGCTAATCTAATTACTAATGTGAAAGCACAAAGGTATAGCCAAGAGATTGCATTAGGAAACTTTAATGTTTAAGGTGGAATTTAAAAAAATTTCTATATATCTAAAACCTGATTATTTCTTTTGTGTAATGGCTTAAAATACGATGATTGATGTTGGTGGTGTGTTATGTCTTCTATAGTATTTTTTATGAATTTGAAACATTCAAAGTTAACATATTGGTCAGAAAATGAGTCTTTCAATCAAGACTTTTATACTGTAGTTGTATATAAATTTTAATAAGTTTGACATTGCATCTTTTCAGTTCTGTCATTTGAGTTCTAAAGTGTAAGTTTGAATTCTTGCAGATTATACTTTGAGCAGTTATTTATATGCAGAGGTTTGAAAAATATTCTATATGTTACTATTTTAGAAATGTATGTTAAGTAAAAAATACTGAAATGAATTGAGAAGTCTATCCAAGATTTTTTAGAATTTTCCAAAATCTTGTTAAATTTATAAAGCGTAGCTTTAAAAATAAATTTTAGGAGATATAATAAAACATTCTTTTAAAGTAGTATTCACAATCCTTTTCTTTTGGTGGAGGAAGGAGTGAAGGAAAGCTGGACCTTTTTAAAAAACAAAATTAGTGCAAGAAAAGCTTTTGAGTACGAAAAATGTTTTAACTATAAGTGTTCCCTTTAAAATATCTCTCAGTAGGAAAGGTGTGGGAATTTTTCCTTGCTTTAGGTTAATTGTGTCTGTAAAAGTCTGGTGAGTTACCATTTTTAACTTAGTTTTTTGTTTTATATGAGATTCAGATACACAGTGATAGATATCTGGTTCTTTGAAAGGCTTTCAGCTGCTGAGGAAATGTGTTTATGCTTTCAGTCTGAAAGAAATGATTCCCTGGAAAGCTCTAAAAAAATGAGGACATTTCAGAATCATTTTCAGATTTTTTTTATATTCCTTTTTGATACTACAGGTTATTTTATCTGTTATAGGTGTTAAACAGTTTCTCTTATGAAGTAAAATTTAGACTATATTTGTAAAAAAAACCCCAGCTATATCTGATTTTCAAAAGCTGTTTTTGTCAAAAGCATAAATTAATGGAGGTGACAAGTTAATGGAGGTGGACAAATTAATTGAGCTCTTTCACACTATTTGAGAAAATAGGATATGCCTGTTGACTTTATGAATGTTGGCTGGTGAGAAATCACCAAAGATTCACCAGAAACAACTTTATCATAAACAAAACAAAACTCCACTAAAATCAGCAGGTTCCAATTCATAATGATTATTAATGTTTCTAGTATTTATACTGTCCAAAAGATTTAAATCACAGCTCTAATTACAGCTGATTTGTCAGTTTTTAGGCATGGTTAAATATATGCCCATATTTTATTAATTCATACTAGCCACAAGCCCAGATACAACTTAATAAAATACTTTCAGTGAGTCACTTTTTTCCTTTTAAGTATTTACCTCTTTGACCTGATGATATGAGTGAACTGATTTAGAAGTTAGAATCCAGAAAATACCACAGGTCTTACAATGTCAAATATGATCATTGGTGGTACATATAGGTAGAATGACAAAATATGTTTGAAGAGCTAATGGGAGGCTAAATTATTTTGACTCAGATCAGTTTATATATAATTAAGTTCACCTAACTTATTTTTCTTTACAAATATTTTAATAATTATTGTTAAGTACACATACACTAAGAGAAAATATTAAATATAGGGAAACACTTGCTTGGGGAGTTTAAATCAGGTGTTTGTTTTTTTTTTTAAATGTGTAGTTTTTGATTATTTTAGTTCATTGCCCCACTTGGCATGAAATAAAAACATAGTATTTAACATGTTCTCATCAGTATTTCTTTATATTCCATAAACCTCTTACATGCAAAATTGATAATAAATTTAACAAAATTTTACTCAAAAATTATGAAGACTAAGTTAGATTACTGACTCAAGTAGTATATTTGCTCTCACAACAGTTTGGTTGCCAAACGTAGGTTAAATCAATTTCTTTGCCTAAACTCTTTGCATTGAAATGAAATAAATTCTGACTGCTTAAAAATTGTGACCTACTAGAACTTTATCTGTAAAATCATTTGTAAAAACTTAAATATTTTGAATATAGGATTCTTCACAGTTGATATAAAATCATTTTGTATGTACAATTGTATAGCATCAGCATTGATTTTTAATGTTTATCATTTTTTACTGTGATTTGTCTAATACATATTATGTGATTTTCATTGAAGTATTGGGTACTTTCTCCAGGACTGAAATATCAAAATAAAGTGTGCTTGCTTGATTGTAGTAAAAACGTGTTGCAGGAATTGAGCAAGCAAAGAAAAATATAAAGGCTCTTTATGGTCTCTTTCTAAACCCAGTGTAGGTGCTGCTTATCTGTAGCTCTTTATTGATGCTATAGATAGGGCGGTGCTGCTAAGCTAGTGAAAGATAAAATACAAAACATTTCACTTTCTGCAAACCTTGAAAAGAAAGGCTATTTAATTTTTTTTCCTTTGTGCATTTAAAGTCCAAGTTTGTTTTCTCTTTTTAAAAACCCTGAGTGACACTTGAAATGTCTCAACAATTTTCAGACTTCTTGATGATGGACTATTTGTGGCAATTTTAAGGAAAATAGATTTTCTATGTAGCATAAAACACTTTTAAAATTGTGTTGCTAGCACAATTTGTGATACAGGAGAAGAAGAGTATCTTAAAGACAAAAGATTTAGGATGATACAGTCCTTATTGGGTAGGTATAATCTTCTTTCAGCTTCAGACTTGAACACTTGAATGGTGGTATATCATAAATGTGAATTTCTTAAGGGATTGTCTTGATAGAATTCAAGTCCTTGATGACATGTGTTTGTGTTACAGTCTGTTCAACAGTGGGTTGAAGTTCAACCTGAGCCTGAGGGAGAATCTCCTGGTCATTGTAAAATGCATTAGTAAAGACTCTGTTCTTGACAGGTGCAAACCATATAAATTACCCTGTCATTTTGCCTAAATTAATAAAGCTTAAAGGCCAATCACATCTAAGTTGTTTTCTGGTGTTTTACTATTCACCGTTTTAAAACAGCAAATGGTTCCTTTAGGCCAGTTTTTATGGATTGTTATATTCTAAGGACTCACTGAAATAAACAAGATTAACACTAGCAATCCTTTTATCTAATCTTCACAAGCAGCAAATTTTGACAATAATAGTATGACTATACAATTAGGTAAAAATTAGCCAGTGCAGTTTCACAGTGAATTCTAGCAAGAAAGATAATGTGAGATGTATTTGTTAGAATTTTATGTTTCTCAAGCTAAAACACAATGAGTGTTAGTGAACTAGACTTGGCCTCCTTTAGCCCCTGCGCTTGTATTCAGTGAGCTCCCTGTATACAATTATTTTATTTAATATGTAAACTATATTTTATAATAAATGCTAATAGCGCAGTGTTTTATAACGATTGCTTTCAATTATTTCATCAATAAAGCTAAGTCCCTAGATTTCCTGGGAAAAATTATGCATACTTTATAAATTCTCCTTGTTTGTGGGTGATTCAAAAGATAGACATCATAAAAATGTGTTTTCTATTTTGACATTTCTTTCCCATAAGAATGTTTTTTTCCTAATTTATTGAATATATCAAGTTTTGTTTAAGAAATCTTATCTAGTAAAATAAATTTTTAAAATTGATAATCTCAAATTAGAAAAGAATATTTTGTTCCTCTCACAGTCACCACAAACTTTTCCTTGTGGGTCTACTTAATCTCTTTTTACTACATATGCACACTCTAATAAAATTGTGTCAAGAAATAACATAAGTAACACTTATGAACAATTTTTTCAGTCTAACTTTTGTAGCATGTTCTTTGGGAATGTGCCTTGTCTGCACTTGCAGAAGAGATACAAGTAATCTTTGAAGTCATTTGGAGGATTTACATCCCCTTTAATTAATGCAGGGGTCGCTTTGTGAGACCTCTCAAAGATGGCAATACATGTCCTCCTTGAACATGGTCAGTGACAAAGAGCTCACTACCTCACCAAGGCAACAACTTTCATTCATGGACAGCTCTTCTTTTTGTTGAGCAAAAT